ATAGCCTCCTGATGAGTCGGTGAAACTCCGACGAAACAGTTTGTCACAGCCCCTTGTTTGTTGTCCTCTTCTCCCTCTCTGCCTACGGTTTACCGGGCAGTTCTATTTGACGATATATATATATATCTCGTCACATAGATATCAGAGCACAAAAGCGAAAAGAACAAACAAATTGATTCAGTGTATTGTTTTGTAAAACGCTGAAAGAAATAATAATACTGTGAAACGAAGAATAAGAGGACACTGTTTTCTGTCATTCTGGTTTGTCTGTCTCTTTGCCTGTCTGTCCTTTCATTTTCTTTTCTTCGCTCATCTTATTTCTTCTTCTACTTCACGTGCTTACACTCTTAGTCAATAGTTCTGTGACAATATATATAAACTCAGACGAAACAGTTTGTCACAGCCCCTCGTTTGTTGTCCTCTTCTCTCTCTCTGCCTACGGTTTACTGGGCAGTTCTGTTTGTGACGATATTTTGTCACAGCCCCTCGTTTGTTGTCCTCTTCTCCCTCTCTGCCTACGGTTTACCGGGCAGTTCTATTTGACGAATTATATATGACGATATATATGTTTTAATTTTCGCTTTAATGCTCTGATATCTATGTGACGATATATATATATTTCCCCTCGTTTGTTGTCCTCTTCTCTCTCTCTGCCTACGGTTTACCGGGCAGTTCTGTTTGTGACGATATATATATATATATCGTCACATAGATATCAGAGCACAAAAGCGAAAATTAAAAAAAAAAAAAAAAAAAAAATCAATTCATTTTTCATCTTCTTCCTTACACTCCCCCTGTTCAGAACCTCTTGCGTACAAGGCCGCCCACGTGGATGTAGGTTGAGCGGCGGCTGCCCCCACCCCCGTGTGTCATATCGACCCACTTGCACACAGCCAAAAGGCAAAGAGGCAAAGAAAAGAGGAAGGAAACAGCCCAAACAAAACAGGACAGGGGGCTGCAAAGCAAATCCTGAATGCCAATCCTAGATGACAAGTCCCACATGCAAACACCGCCCCCGACAACTACAGGCCAAACGACAGGACAAGAACATCCAGGATGTCATACCAAAAAAAGAAGGACCCGGATGA